GTATCTCGTGGAGCTGGACTAGTTTTCAGCGTTGTGCATGGGAGCGGGCGGGAAACCAGCCACCTGCAGGCGGGAGCGGGACGAAACATGCATGAAGAGATATCCGCAAATTAATGAACAGCCTAAATAAATCACTAAATCATATACATACATACATCATCTAAACCGCTAATCCTTCTGGGTCGCGGTGGGGTGCTGGAGCCTATCCCAGCTGTCATTGGGCGGAAGGCAGGATACACCCTGGACAGGTACTAAATCATATATATAAACGATATAGAATTAGGACGGTAAAACAGTTCAAATGAATGAAGTTGTTCTAAAGAGCTGTGAAGCAGCCGATCACGTGATCAACATGCAGATTCTCGTAGCTCACAGAGACGGCGGAGCCTTCAGGCCGACGGCCACAGCTGCCCAGCACAACACCAAAAATAATCCCTGCTTTGTGTTTAAGTGGTGAATAAATGGCGTTTGGTGAAGTTACTCACAGTGAGCCTGATGACCACGACTGCCCTGTTATTTCAGCAGAGAGTAATGTGTTTGTGAATAGACTGTGTCAGATATTGGATGTCAGTTCGTCTTGATGTCTTGACGTCTTGTGCGGGACTAATGATTCCGATTTTCTGCGGGAGCGGGATGAAATCATGCTGGAGCGGGACTGAAAAAGCAGGGCCTGCACGGACCTCTACCTAGGGCTGGGCGATAAAACGATAACGATAATTATCGCGAAATAACTTTTCCTCGATAGAGCGATACGACATGTTCGATAAATGTTCGATATAATACACCATTCTCACACCTCCACGTTCAGCAAAAGCCTTGGTGGCGTTTTCTACTGCAAGGAAAGCGACATTACTGTGCTGTCGCCAGTAGAGGGCGCACTTCCGAGTTTTTCTACATGATTAGAGAGGGAGGGGGCCACGAGTAAGATGAGTCTTTAGCAACGGCTGAAACGCGGAGTTATGCTAGCTGTTTTTAGCAGCTGGCTAACTTAAAGCAGCTCCGTCACTCACACAGCATGGAGAACTGATGATACTGTAGATCAAACACGACACAAAAGCACCGCTTTCAGTTTAAACGTACATAAAAGTCGGACTCTGTCTGTCTGGTGTTGATATTTTGCGGTTCACCCCTCAAACTACTACGATAGTATAGAGAAATCCAGTCGTCTAGCTGGTGTCTGAATACTGTGATGTCATGTGTAGTGGGGTAGCCAAGCGCTCGGCACCAGCTAAAATAATCTGTTTTCTTTCTTAAATTATGACTTTTACAAAATAGCCGTGCTTTTCCAGCTGGTAAAAACAGCTCAGCAGACACTTCCTCCCACTCTCCCATGACAGATCTGTGAAATGTCCCACTGTTTGACGAGTTTTTGTTGTGTTCAGACCATAAAGGATAGTTTAAAACAGTAATTAACCCCCCAGGAGCAAAAACCAGCCTTCAAACTTGAAAGAAATAATGATTTGACATTTATCGCGATATGTATCGATATCGAACAATATGAATTTTGTTTATCGTGATAACATTTTTGGCCATATCGCCCAGCTCTACCTCTACCATGAAGGACTGTGGAGGCACTAACACTGTAGCTCGTACTGTCAGTAAAAGCAGGCGCAGTAATTAAAGAGAATGAACCTGGTGACACTAAATGAAGTGCTCTCAGTAGTCTGGGGATCAATCCGTCAGATCTCCACTCACTGCCCTGCTCTATCTGTTATACCCACCGACACTTTGGGGGGTAGTTTTGGGGGTCATTACTGTTACAAATCCTTATTGAGATTGAGAAACTGCATTTAATTTAGCTCTGGATGGAGCAGCACATCCGGGGACTTTGCCCTTGTGTGATTCCCTCCCTGGGTGAGAGCAGCCCCTCTAATTTAATACAAATTCCAAGGTGTTTGACAATTTAACAGCTTAAAATAGGAATACACTACTGATTTATAGCTGTTAGAGCCCAAATCCTACAGCCAGTCAGGCAAACAGTTATGTCATGTCATTACTGATCAACGATCAGCGTTATTATATAAAAAAAATGAAAGAAACGGGCTGATCAGTGTCCTTTCAGTCTGCGTCCATCGAAGTGGACGAATGGCTCTACCCAGTGTCTGGAGGAGTCATATTTATTTGATTCCTGCTTTATTATCATCACTTTAATGCAGCATTTAGACTCACTTTGGATCATTATGAATTTGGATTATTATGACATAAAAATAGGCAGGTGAAGCTGTTTTACTTGGCATCTGTGTTTCAACACGCTAGGTCAGGGGTCGGTAACCCAAATGTTAAGAAGAGCCATTTAATCCTTTCAACAAAAATCTAACCTTGGGAGCCACAACAGTTTAAGTCCATTTTACCATCTTGGCTGTAAATATGTCTCAGTATGTGTTAATGTACTAATAAAAATATAATATAAACAAAAAACGCAGACTTACTTCGCTCTGCTTTAAGCTTTAAGTCAGCTATAGCTGCTTTTCTCACATCTCCAGCAGGAAACTTTTCCACAAAGGTAGAACAGTTTCTTGTAAAATGTCTCTTAATGTTTGACTTTTTACAATGGCTGAAGTCGCTTCTCATTCGCCAGCTTCTTGTTCTGATTTTCCTTTTCCACCTTAAATGGTGCCTGAGGCGGCAGAACATAACGGCTGCACCATTTAAGGTGGAACGGGAAAATTTGAACAAGAAAGTGACTTCAGCTTCATGACTTTTTAGTGTTTGACAGTTTCTCACTGCAGATTAAACGTATCAGGAAACCAGCTGGAGTGATTATAAAAGTCCATTCCTCTCTGAATTATCGATGTTCATCTTAAATCTCTCTCTTTGCCGTTTCGTTAGCTACTAGCTAGGTGAGATTTTTGTCTGTGTTGCTATGGTGACCAGCAGTCTGCGCTGATCTTCAGGGTTAAAGGGTGAATTAGCAGTTCTACATTAACTCCAGAGTTTAAGACCATTTATTGTTAAACTGTGTTGAACGATCAGCAGAGCTTTATTTTACTGTAAAGGAGGATTATTTTATTTTTACCTACAAATCTGATTCTGCTGTGGAGCCACAACAGGGCAGTAAAAGAGCCGCATGCAGCTGACCGCTGATCTAGGGAAAAAAAGCAAGCTGGCAGTTAGTTTACTTAACACTTTTGTTACAGGTTCACATTAAATTGGGATTTCCTGGCTTTTCATTGTGTTCTATGTGCTGCCCCTTTAATGCAGCATCAATATTCACTACTTTAAATTTCAACATTATAACTGTTGACTTTAACGTCATTAACTCAGCTGTGATGAAGATCACAGATCTCTCCTTTTTCTGTCCTTCACTCTTCGGGGAAGTAAAGAAATCAGAAACTGGGTTTTTATTGTTAGACATGCAAAATGCGACACAGCAGCTTTTCGGCATGGTGCCACTAGTATTTCCAATTTGGCGCTGTCGCTCCGACCGGGTTCGTTTTAACCCGAAAGGGGGCGTGGTCGTTTGGACGACAGGGAAGTGACGCATGGCTGCTCTCATCTGCTAAATCTTTAATGACCTTCTCTGGCGGTAGCAGTGTGCTGACTCAGCACCACCCCTTCACTTTGTCAGATTAACAAGCCCAGGAAGAAACGTTGAGAGGAACCAAGACTCAAAAGAGCAACCCGTCCTCCTCTGGTCGACTCCGGGTAGCAGAACAGTAACACAGCAAGAGCGATACGAATACAGAATAAAGAGTTTAACCGTGATTGGTCACTTTTGTCTTACTTGCTCAAATTTAAAAGATTTGTTTCCATTTAAAACACGGCATTTTGTTATAACTACTGTTACAGCAAAAGTTTGGGCACTTTTGGTCAAATGATGTATATATCATATATATTGTATATATATTGAGTATATATATCATATCGCTGCTGTCGAAGTCAAACCTCGTATCTCCAAAATGGTAACTTTACAGGAGAAGGAAAAAACCTGCTTTACTTTTAATGTAAGTCAATGGAACCAGAATTTTTTCCAAGTAATTCTGGGACGCTTCTTTTGGTCCATTCATCATGAAATTTACACACCATGTAAAGAACAAAAGGCATTTTCAAATGATATCAAAAACTGAAAAAAGATGAAAAAATGAAGATACTAGGTTTTGTTCCGACAGCAGCGTTATATATCAGGTATACCGGCAATGAGAGTATGTATCATATATATCATATATACAGTCAGTAAATGTGTCATATATACTATATACACAGTCAATAAGTGTTTATGTCATATATATCATATGTACGGTCATTGAGTTTAGGTATCATATATATCATATATACAGTCAGTAAATGTATCATATATACTATATACACAGTCAATAAGTGTTTATGTCATATATATCATATGTACGGTCATTGAGTTTAGGTATCATATATATCATATAAACAGTCAATCAGTGTGTATGTAGTGTATATCATATATGCAGTCAGTGAGTGTATATCATATGTATCATATATATAGTTAGTGAGTGTATATATCATATATCAAATATGTACAGTCAGTGAGTGTATATATAATATATATCATATATACAGTCAGTGAGTGTATATATTATATGATATATATACAGTCAGTGAGTGTATGTATCATATATATTATATATACAGTCAGTGCGTGTATATATCATATATATCATGTACACAGTCAGTGAGTGTATGTATCAAATATATCATATATACAGTCAGTGCGTGTATATATTATATATGTCATATATAAAGTCAGTGAGTGTATATATTATATGTTATATATACAGTCAGTGAGTGTATATATTATATGTTATATATACAGTCAGTAAGTGTATGTATCATAAATATCATATATACAGTCAGTGAGTGTATATATTATATGTTATATATACAGTCAGTAAGTGTATGTATCATAAATATCATATATACAGTCAGTGCGTGTATATATCATATATATCATGTCCTGCTTTGGGAGTAATGCTAAAGGCCCTTTGTCCAGTGAAAATCCCGCATCGCTGACTGTTTGTTTTCTCTTTCAGGCGTTTAAAGAGATGCTGTATGCAGCGCAGGACCAGGCGCCCTCCGTAGAAGGTAAGCAGACCCCCCTGAGCGGCCGAACCACGCCGGCTCAGCCAGGAATAACCGCCGCTATTTATAGAGAACATTCCAGAAATGTTGTGTCTCACTGCACTGTCCAGCTCCACGCTGCAGCCTGGCAGGGGGCGGAGCTGGGGGTGGGGATGGGGGCATGGCTGGGGGTGGATCTTTAGCTGTAGTGAATGTACCCTCTTAAAAAAGATTCTTCAAGGGTTCTTTAGTAAAGAGAGTGGTTCCGTTTAGAACCTTTTAATGCTTAACTCATCCTTTGCAGGGTGAAATTGTTCTTCTCATTGATGGAGAATGTGTTGTATATGGTTCTATACAGCACCAGAAAAGGGTTCTTCAATTGTGACGATGTCAATAGCAGTACAATAACAATAGCAGGACCTATGTTGGTCCTATATAGAACCATATACAACACATTCTCCTTCAGTATGAAGACCCGTTTCACCATGCAAAGAAAATTTTAAGCAGGAATTGGTTCTGTGTAGAACTCATGGTTCTAAATAGAACCATTCTCTTTGCTAAAGAACACTTGAAGAACCATCTTTATTAAGAGTGTTGGTCAGTCGTGACGCTGTTTTTGGTGCTTTAATGGACGATCCAGGCAAGAATGCTAATGTGGCTGATGGCTGTTGATGAATGACAGAGCTGTGTGTTTTATACTGTTCGCTAACGGGAGGAATATTTGTGACCTCACAACAAAATTTCAGCACCATTTAGATTAGATTGTTCTGGTGTGACTTAAAATACACTGAATGCACAGATGCACAGTCAAAAGTTTGGGCGCCCCTGGACAAATTACATGCTTTGTTGATTTTCTGAGTTTATTTGCTGTTGGAAAAATTTAAACTTATAGAGCACAAAATTTTATATATATATATTTTTTTTGCGCCCTGCGATGGATTGGCGACCTGTCCAGGGTGTATCCTGCCCTCCGCCCAATGACAGCTGGGATAGGCTCCAGCCCCCCACCGCGACCCAGAAGGATAAGCGGTTTAGATGATGTATGTATGTATGTATTTTTTTTGCAATATGTTGAACAAATAAATAGAAATAGTGCAATAGAATTAGCAGAAAAATACCAAACTTAAGTGGTATTTAAGAACGTTACTTATTCTGACTTATTCTCAGAAAATCAACAAAACAGGTCATTTGACTGGGGTGTTCGGACTTTTGCATACGACTGTGACTGGAGGGACTGTTTAGTGGAATATAGACAATAAAAACAACACACAAAGCTTTCTGGAAGGAATTGTACATTCGAAAGTGTTATTAAAAGGATAAGAATAAAAACTATAATAAATATGAATATGTATATAGTTTATGGGGGTTGTCCAAAAAAGAAAAAACATAAAAAATGGAGGGTTAATTATAATTCTCTATTCATCATGAAACGTTTGCGCATAGTAATCATTTGTTTATTATCCTCATTAGCTTTTCTAGCTGAACTTGGTGCTCTTTATCACAGAGAGGCTGGAGGTGTGAAGGTGTGTGTGAGAGGAGGGTGAAGGTTCTGCTCGGTGTTAAACGGCAGCTCGGCCGTGTCTCAGCGCTCGGTGCTTCTCGTCTGCGCGATGTTTGGCTCCGAATTGTGGTTCATAAACTTGTGTGTGGGGGTCTGTATGGGGGTCCACACTTCAGCTCGTTGTGCTCAGATCTTCATATTAGGGCTGCACAGTGTGGACTGAACACAAGTGTTGTGAAAACACAGCTGCGTGCTGTTATCGTGTCATGCCTTACAGTGTGCCGTATTAAAGGGCCTGTATTCTACATTCCTCCTGTATTCTTCCCCCTGATGTCCACGTATGAAGTTAGTACATGTTCATGTATCAGCAAGAGCCGGAATTCATTTCTACCTGATCATTTTCCAAAATCTCTCTATCTCTTACAGTGTTTTTGATACTGTTCTGTTACCTTTAAAGCTGAGATATGCAGATGAGCTCTGTTCTGATTGGCTGCCCTGTGCTGCTCCTTATTCAGAAAGCAGGCTGGGCTGAAACACTCCTTATAACTTCAGTGTGAAGGCTGAATAGGGGGATTTGTGTAAATATGTTATTTGTCTTGATATCACAAAAGGAGTGAATTCAAAACAGGCTGTCTGTGCAGTTTAGTTTCCATATATGGACTGTATGGAGTGGAGAGAGAACGGTACGTTTGGGTCAGGATGCGCACGCTGTGATTGATTAGAGACTCATTTGCATGTGATATCAGTATTGCAGAAGTTGATATTGCAGAAATGAATAACAAACTACAGTAACTGCTGTGAATCATTCAGTAACTGCTGTGCCTTATTCAGTATCTACTATGAATTATTCAGTATCTACTATGAATTATTCAGTATCAACTCTGCATTATTCAGTATCCAGTATGAATTATTCAGTATCTAATATGAATTATTCAGTATCTACAATAGATTATTCAGGATCTACTATGAATTATTCAACATCCAGTATGAATTATTCAGCATCTACTATGAATTATTCAGTAACTAATATGATTATTCAGTATATTCAAAAGATTATTCATACCTCCCTGAATTATTCAGTATCAACTCTGCATTATTCAGTATCCAGTATGAGCTATTCAGTATCTACTATGAATTTTTTAGCATCTACTATGAATTATTCAGTATCTACTACAAATTATTTAGTATGTACTATGAATTATTCAGTAACTAATATGAATATTTAGTATCTACTACAAGTTATTCATACCTCCCTGAATTATTCAGTATCTGCTGTGAAATATTCATTAACTACTATAAATTATTCAATAACTACCATGAATTATTTAGCATCTACTACAAATTATTCATACTTCCCTGAACTCTTCAGTCTCTACTGTGAATTATTCAGCAACTACTATAAATTATTCAGAATTTACTATGACTATTTACTATTTACTATGACTTATTTAGTATTTACCATGTTGTGCAGCTCTAATACAGAACAAACACATCAGTTTCGTAGTAGATACTGAATAATTCGTAGTGTTTTCTGAATAATTTGTAGTAGTTCATTAGAAATAAGGCTGCTGTTTACGCTGTTAATGTGTTATTGAAAGGTAACACACATCAGGGAGTAAAATATGTGGGTGTACAGTGTGTTCACCTATAAAATACACATACAGTGCGCTGAAACTCGTGATGTGTCCTCTGCCGAGCTCTGACAGCTCTCAGGAGGTTGGAGGTGTGCTCCTGTCAGGCCGTAGTAGAGATGTCTTTTCCACTCACTGCTTCTGCTACAGCTCTGTCTGCAGTGTGTGTGTGTGTGTGTGTGTGTGTGTGTGTGTGTGAGCGCTTCTTTGACCTCGCCGTTTCGTTTGTGTGTGTTTGTGTAAGTGTGTGTGTTGTGTGTGTGTGTGTGTGTGAGGTGTGAATGGAGCAGTAGGAGCTGGTTGTGTGTGGTTAGTGTGAGGAGATGGAGAGGCTTTTGGGAGAAAGAGAATAAGTGTATCTCCTCCCTGTGGACTAACCTGCTGCTCTGAGGGACAGAAATATAACATCAACACATTCATACATATCACACACTGGGGTTACATGACTTCAGAGTTTTTAAAGTCGACAGTTATGTGATGAAAGTCGACTCAACGTCGCTGATGACACCATGAATAAAACCGCAGGAGAAGCAAATGTTTTGTAACAAGCAACTTTAAAAATCCATGACAAAGCCAGACTCCACAAATCAGTAGGGCGTGATGTGGCCTTTCCAGTGAGCTCTGGATGGCATCGCTATCCCTCAGGGAACCGTAGATACAGACCCTGGAAACTCCCAAATTTGTATCCGATATAGGGGCACCCTAGACGGCATTGCAGAGCTGCTCGTCTGCAACAGAGAGCCAGAGAAATTTAGAGCGCATTCAGTATCTGATTTTTGGAGCACTCTAGACTGGCAGAGAAATGTTAGAACAAAGACTCCAGGTCAGTAGAGGTTGGCATGATCTTTTGAGTGAGCCCTGGATGGCATTGCTAGCCTTCAGGGAGCCGGAGATACGGACCCTGGAATCTCACAGATTTGTATCTGACTTGGGCGCACCCTAGGTGGCATTGCCCATCTGCAGCAGAGCTACAGAAATTTAGAGCGCATTCAATATCTTATTTCTGAAGCATTCTAGATTGGCAGAGAAATGCTAGAACAAAGCCAGACCTCACGGGTCAATAGAGGTTGATGTGATCTTTCAGTTGAGCCCTGGATGGCATTGCTAACCTTCAGGGAACCGAAGATGCAGACCCTGGAAACTCCCAAATTTGTATCCGACTTAGGTGCACCCTAGGTGGCATTGCTAGGATGCCCGTCTGCAGCAGAGAGGCAAAGAAATTTAGAGCGCATTCAGTATCAGATTTTTTGAGCACTCTAGATTGGCAGAGAAATGATAGAACAAAGCCAGACTCCGGGTCAGTAGAGGTTGACATGATCTTTCGATTGAGCCCTGGATGGCATTGCTAGCCTTCAGGGAACCAGCGATACGGACCCTGGAATCTTGCAAATTTGTGTCCGGCTTAGGCGCACCCTAGGTGGCGTTGCTGGGATGCCCGTCTGCAGTAGAGCTACATAAATTTAGAGCACATTCAATATCTTATTTCTGAAGCACTCTAGATTGGCAGAGAAATGATAGAACAAACCCAGACAGGTCAGTAGAGGTTGATGTGATCTTTCAGTTGAGCCCTGGATGGCATTTCTAGCCTTCAGGGAACCAGAGATACGGACCCTGAAATCTCCCAAATCTCCGATTTAGACCGCCGTAATGACAACAATAAGAGTAACTGACATTATGCTCCCTCTCCAACAGCACATGACTTTTTACTGTAGTCTTTGAGAAACTGGAGATGATGACGTTCAACATTGGATCCTTGAAGCTCTGTAGATCAGTGGAGATAGAATGAAGCCAAACTCCACAGGTCAGTAGAGCATGATGTGCCCTTTCCAATGAGCCCTGGATCGCATTGCTTTCCTTCAGGGAACCCTGAAATCTCCAGGCTCCTCACCTGC